TTAATCACCCACTGTTTTTTTTTTTTTTTTTTTTTCTTACTTCGGCATATAATGTGTCATTCAGTGCAACATAAGGAAAATGGTCCTCACAAATGCCATATCGATGGGTATTTTATTTGTGGTGAGTTATGGAATGAACTCGCTGGCCGTGTTGCGGCGGGGATGCACAAAGGGAAAAGGTCGATGTGTGACAAAGTGCACCTCAAGGTAGGCATTCGCCGCTTGATATGCTTCCCTACGGTTTATTTTATTTTATTATATTCTGTTTACCTGTTCACGCCAAGAGTAACTTTAACAAAGAAAAGTAAGTGAAAAAAAAATGTCCCCCCCGTGGCTGGCAGCCTTTGCGCATATGTTCATAAAGGAGCACGCGCGCGTGTAACACGCATGGTGCACATTTGTCCTGAGCGCAGGCACATGTGGACTGGGCTGCGAATAGAGTTACACTCAGCGGATTGGCTATACACCCCGCAAATTGCCTCAATCAGGCAAACGCTTCGAAAGAGCGAAAGGGAAAAAAAGATAAACCCGCTTCAACTATATCACACTGATCATATCATGTCCCATGTGTGCACTTGTACCATTTGTTCGTTGCTTAAACGCTGTACAGAGCTGTCCTCTGAATAAAAACAAAAAAAAAAAAAAAAATTGCAATGCTGCTGGTTGGTCTACACATCCAAATAGAACAATTGCCATTTCAAAATCGTGCGGAACATCCGCCTGCTCCCATGGACTGCAACAAAATGACCAAGACGAACGAAAGCAACCATGTCGTGCATATTCTTGGGGGTAACGAATTTTATAATTTCTCCGCACCCCTTTTTGCACACAACTTATGTCCGTTGGAATCTCCCTCCGCCTCCTCTTCCTCATAATCATTCCCCTAAATATGCGGCTTTTTGTTAAAAGACTAAAACGAAAATACCTGCTTTTGCCCTGCAAGTGGAACAAAACAAAATGTCCGTTTTGACCGACACATGAAAGCATACACCCAAGTGTGTGTGCACAATGTAAAGCTCTGAGACGTCTGCATGTCTTTCGTAAAAGAGGTTCTATTCCTCCATTAGTGTAAACTATTGTACGTACGTGAAGGACCTTTTTGTCCATGCCCTATGCGAAAAGGATAACCTTATCGTTTATCCCCATGAGTTTAGGTAACCCCCCAACAATTTTTGCGAATGCCCACAGTTCAATCATTAATATTTTAAGCGTGCCAACCGGAGGATCATACATAAGTACACCAGTACAAACATATTTGCAGCTTAAAAAAGGTATACAAAAAAAAAAATAAAATAAATAATTGTAATGCCGATGGGGGAAAGGTTGTGTAAACTCTTTCTCATTGCATCGTTTGGTATGCCCAAAGGGTAGATGTGCACGTCGGGGGGAGAAAAAACATTTATGAGGTTCACTTGGGAAGACACTTTAATGCGCAGGCCAAGGGGGTACAGAAATGTTTTCCATAGCTATGCTTGGCGAAACAAACTAACGAAGCGGAACTGCTTCATACATGCCTCATGCGTTAAAATATGTGCGCACACATGTACGTTTCCCTTTGACTGTACGCTTTTGTCTTTGCCAAGTTGGCTTCCCTCTTGCGGCATGGCTCTCCTCCTCCCAAAACGCTCGTCTTTTTGAAGTCACATTTCTTCCCCTTAGCCAAACACTTAACAATAGTACCAAATGTGAAGCGACAAATGGCAGCTTATTTTGCGAGCCACTCGAGATGGCGCTTCATATGAACGGTGAGAAGAAAAAAAAAAAAAAATAGTTAAACGCTAGCTATACGCTACATAAGACAAAAGGGGGGCACCATATCATTTGCTTTATTTTCCCCTTTTTTGTGGTGCTCCGCCAAAGGGCACGCACAGCATAGCTGATAAGAGAGCGTGCACAGATCGTTTCTGGTGGCTTGCAAAACGTTTTATAGCGGAGGAAAGTCCGCGCGCTTGGAAAAATAAACACCTGTGGTAGGAGAAAGCCACCAAGGCGAACGGAGCATGTCCTACACGTGTATGCTTCCTTATGAGGGCTTCGCTCTTGAGAACGAAGTGTTTTCCGCGTACTCAGTTTGTGGCTTACAGTACGCGCAAGAGAGCGTTCATTTTTGCGGGATGCTTACACGTATAAAAAAAAAAATAATAAAATAACAAACCAAATCGGAACGAGGCACACTTGGTAAAGACCATAAAAATGTTTCTCCTTCCCAAATAAGTTATTTAATTTTTTTTTTTCTTTTTTTTTCCCTCACGACGTAATTTCACTTTTTTCCCCCTGGGCTCTCCCTATTTTACACTTTTAAAACAAACCAGCAAAAGATGCAAAACGTTTCTCACTTCACGATCAAAATAGAAAGAGTTTCCTGTTCCCTGCCTACATGTATGTTTGATGTATCCAAGGAAGTGTGCAAACTGATAGAAAAAGTGGTAGGCCAAATTGACGCTTCTTGCCACGCGTGCTATATGTGAAAAAGGCAAGGCAGTCCATATGACAATTCTCTCCATCGAAAAAAAAAAAAAAAAAA